TTGGCGCACAGGCCACGAAGTAGTTGAAACTTCTCACGAAGTAGTTGGAACACAGGCCACGAAGTAGTTGACACTTCCCACGAAGTAGTTGGCGCATAGGCCACGAAGTAGTTGAAACTTCTCACGAAGTAGTTGACACTTCCCACAAAGTAGTTGGCGTACAGGCCACGAAGTAGTTGAAACTTCTTACGAAGTAGTTGATGCAGGCATAGAAACCTTACGACTTACTTACAAAAGCAGCAAACTAAAACCGACGAAAACATGGGGAACAATCCGATATTAAATTGAAAAAAAAAAAAATTATAAACATTTTAAAAAAGATATAGAGGTAACGTACCTTCAGGAAATTTGCTTCTTACTCTGAGGGACCGTGACAATAAAGATCGAACAAAATGTTATCCCGCGACTTTCAACTTCCTCCCTCAACGTCCAATTTGCGTTTTCAAATAAAAGATTGGTTATACAAATTTCTACAAGTTTTAGGCGATGGTTTAAAAAGTCGCCAGCTTTCCACAGTGGAAAAACTTGATCGGTTTTTTCTATGATAGCTGACAACATCCGAGATCTGAGATCCGCTAAATGAGCGTATATTGCGAATAGTTGACGGAACTACACCATCTGATGTCGGCACACCTCGAAAACGGAGTCTTGAGGATTGAGAATTTTCAAACCGCAGTCGTCCCTAAAGATTTTTGTGGCTTTTATCAAGGCTTCGGAGTCTAGTAATAAATCACCATGTGCCTTCATCAAGATGCTGGTGCACTTTTCGCATTTAAGCTGGTCAATCGCATAAGCAGTCAAATACCGCTGCACCTGAACGTCCGCATTATTCTCGTCTGGAATTTCTACTTCTTCAATGACGAGTCGCTCATTTAACGTTTCCCGTTCTTTAAAATAACGATCTTTGGGGTTTAAATTATTTTCTAAATTTACATCTTCTTCATCACAATCTACCCCTTTATTAACCAATTTTTCATGCAAAATACTAATTGAAATTGATGTAGCAGATGTATATAAGATTTCGTGAGCTCTAACATTGGTACTTGTCTCTCGGCTAGCTCATTCACTAATAAAAAAGTTTTCTAAGTCGTCTTGACAAAACTTACTTAAAAAACTTGAAAAATTTGCTGTACACTTTGGTGCTGGGCAAAGAGCTCTTTCGAAAGCATTCTATTTGGTAAGGGTTATAATTCTAAAGCGCGGCCGAAGGCCGCCTACGCAGAAAGGAATTCTACGCAAAAATACTAAAAAATAAATTAACTAGGCATCGATGACAACGTACAAGAATGCGCCAAGCCTACGCAGATGTTTGTCAAAAAGATGAACGACCTTTATGGTGAGCTAAACTGCGAAAATTTAAATTCGATAAATCCATTGATGTGTCCACTAAAACGGGGAGACAGGGGGAAAATCTCAAGGCTAGATACACATTTGGAATTTTTGCGGTCAATGACGCTCAATGGCACCCGAATGAAATGCAGTGAACGCTTAGGTATAACAATAAAGTCCATGCAAATTCTCCTTTTTGTGTGCACCAACTGGGGCTACCGCCCCAGTGATGTAGCCTTGGGAAAAGATGAGGTAACTAGAATTCCCTTTCTGTGTGGTAAGCCTGGGGCTGCCGCCACAGTGATGTCTTTGTGCAGAGCTCTTTGTTTAACATATTTTAAAATTACATTATACTCATTTATTCCCTACTGCTATCGAGATTATTATCAAACAGTGGTAGATCGTTGAAAATCCCACCGTTTCAATTTGTTGAATTTTCGACCATGTGGTAGCACCTTTTATATTCACCATCTCAGCCATTTTGATTTGTTTGCTTTTTTACTTTGTCGAAGAAGAGTAGTGATTTTATTAAACGTGTTTTATATTGTTAAAAAATAAAATAAAATACATTTAATGTACACAAAATACACGTGAACATTGCAAAGATCATATATTTATAAAAATATAAGTGTTAAGTGCTCTTTTTAATATGAAACTTTGCTAGTGAAACTGCAAAGAATTTACCAACGAATTAGTTAAATACTATACTAATAAAGCGAAGAGTGATAAATAATATAAATATATACGATTCTTAACACCCCCGCCAAGTTTCATGGCGAAATTCGTGATAATTTTGTGAAAATATCCAAAAACCCCTTGATTATTCCAGCAGCGATATTTTCATAAACATTATAACATACTCGCCCAATTTAAGTGTTGGGATAGCACGTGGTCTTAGAAACATCCGACCAAGTCGAAATGATCCGCACACACAAAGGAGTTGTGCGGCGGATTATCCTTTATGCGGAGATTCTTTCTCCATATGGCCACCTCACCTGCGTCCTTGGGGAACAAAAAAAACCGCCTCTCGCTATTTACGTTAATGCAATTTTGCTCACGGCACTTTCGCTCACGGCTCATCAAA